GGGCCCCCAAAAGGCTCGGACCGGCTCTGGCCTTCGTCACTCATTTGTTGTCACGGACACTAATTGTGTTCAGCTGTGCACTCATCAATCACCCTCATTATAACCTGTATATATGTTCAGTTCTGTTTCAGGTCAGTTTCCGGTGTCGTCAGTTTTGGATGTTTTGTGTTTGGTCTGTTTTGTGGAATACCCTGTTGGATTGATTAAATGTTAACTGATTGCCTTCATCTTCTTCTCCGTGCTTATTACTACAACCACCACCGTGACAATAATAGCCTATATAAATTTGCAATCGTTTTATTATATAACACTGGGGTATACATACACAAGGGGTGATTGGCAAACAACACACACCTGGGAACAATCAACGAACTAATTAACAAGAAAAACTACAAAGGACTACAAAACATGCCGCAAAACAGGAAATAACATAAAAGTCCACACAAGACAGGTATCATGACAATATACTAAATCCAGACTAAAAACCAAATGAAAACTGAAACAGAATGTCTACCTTCTAATTAGGATGCATTTCAAAATATTTCATTTCAGAGATGTGCAAATAAAAGAAGTTTAATCATGTCATGTCTGCACTGTCCTGTCTAAGGCCTCTTGACCTGTCTAAGACCTCTTAGTAACTAAATTACATTTTATAAGAACCAGATATAAATTAATATGTATATAAATCAATAAATTTTAATATTGCTTTATTGTTCTAGTGACTATCTTTAATCAAATTGTCATATCATGTCTGCTGAGGGGTTAGACACTTCCTTTCTCTTAAAAAATCCATTGTCCACAAATTTGCATGTGAATTTTTTGTTGTTTATTATAGGTTTGATTACTGAGAAAATAAACTGTTAGAAAAGGTAATGCAAAATTAATGAAACAACTTTGGCTGACAAACAAACGGAAGGCAATGTCTAAAGAAGACCATGTACTCCCAGTAAGCCACACCCAGGCCTTTAAGGTCTATTGTACTTCTACTTCTGTCCTGCAGAGGGTGCACATCTCAAGAAAACAAAGAATAACAAAAATGATCCTTCAAATAAGGCAAATATATGGCTCCTACAGTTCTGTACAGCTGGTGCTGATATATGACACTAAGTTTCAAATTTCGTTTTACAGCTACCAGTTACCCCACATTTACAGGATGGTTCATTGGATCTCTTCCCATTATAATTTGGTAGAAGTAACATAGCACTTTTGTATAAGTGGCCCAAGCTCGAACCTGACTTCGGTCAGCCTCCACTTTTCTCCCTAGCATTTTCTGTCATTTCTGTATACTATCCTGTGTTAGTGTGTTTCATCCCAGTTAAGATATATGCCAGTCCCACACTGAGTATCTCCCCTACAGACTATCACAGCCAATCACTCTTTGGAAAGGTGGCAGCTGATATTACTGAACATCCTGTGACACCATCAGGAAATAAATATGTCCTCGTTCTCCAAAACTATTTCACAAAGTATGTAAAATTGTACTCTATGAAAGATTAGAGAGCTGTAACGGAACAGTATGTCACAGAGCATGGTGTTCCTGAACGTCATCATACACATCAAGGCTGCCAGTTTTAGGCAGATCTTGTGTTCCAAGTTGGGTGCCACCAGAATTAGCAAGCAAATGTTCCCTGTAGGTAACAGTGAATGAAGTTCTAGAATAAAAAAAAAATCACAGTGAATAAAGTCTCATAGTAGATGAGTTACAGTGTATAACGTCTCATATTACATAGGCTAAAGTGAATAACAATTCACAAATAACAAATCGAGGGAGTCTGGCTCCTGTGCTCCTTCCGCCCTTGACCTCAGCGTGGACCATCGGCCATTCGGCCTCGCCAGACTCACTCGGCACGTTGGCTCCACCTGGGTCAGACATCGTGTCGCCTCCGCTGCGGACCGTCCACCACTCTCTGGTCCTACACCCCTTCAGCTGCAACTTTCTCCGCCCTACCTCAGGCTCCACCTCCGCCGTTGGTCGCTCCAACTCGGCCTCAGACCTCCGGACCCCCACCTCGCTCTCGGGAGGTCGTCGCCTGCAGCTCTGCCGCCTAGATCTTCGCAATCTCTCCACCACCTCGGCTCATCGGTTGTGCGGTTGGCTCCATCCTCGCCGTCATTGTCTCCAGTCAACCCCCTGGTGGCCCTCACCAGCATTCCTCCATGGCTCCTCCCTCCATCAACGTCGCTGTGTCGCACTCGCCTGGATGAAGAACCATCATCCCCTAATCAAGGTCATCCCTTGGCTCACTCCACCATCATCACCAACCTGGACTTTGTTGTTCGCCCTCCTCCCGGTCGTCCGTCCAGCTCCAGAGCCTCCTCTTTCCTGTCTGTGACATCCCTTCACAATCCCCTCATCCTCTTCACATCCTCTTCTCCACGGCGCAAGGTCGTGCCTACCCGGAGGCGGCGTTCTGTCACAATCACGTTAGTTTGGACTTGTTATGTTTCGTCATCGTCTGCCTTCCTTCGTCACTCATTTGTTGTCACGGACACTAATTGTGTTCAGCTGTGCACTCATCAATCACCCTCATTATAACCTGTATATATGTTCAGTTCTGTTTCAGGTCAGTTTCCGGTGTCGTTAGTTTTGGATGTTTTGTGTTTGGTCTGTTTTGTGGAATACCCTGTTGGATTGATTAAATGTTAACTGATTGCCTTCATCTTCTTCTCCGTGCTTATTACTACAACCACCACCGTGACAATAATAGCCTTTATAAATTTGCAATCGTTTTATTATATAACACTGGGGTATACATACACAAGGGGTGATTGGCAAACAACACACACCTGGGAACAATCAACAAACTAATTAACAAGAAAAACTACAAAGGACTACAAAACATGCCGCAAAACAGGAAATAACATAAAAGTCCACACAAGACAGGTATCATGACAATATACTAAATCCAGACTAAAAACCAAGTGAAAACTGAAACAGAATGTCTACGTTCTAATTAGGATGCATTTCAAAATATTTCATTTCAGAGATGTGCAAATAAAAGAAGTTTAATCATGTCATGTCTGCACTGTCCTGTCTAAGGCCTCTTGACCCGTCTAAGACCTCTTAGTAACTAAATTACATTTTATAAGAACCAGATATAAATTAATATGTATAAATCAATAAATTTTAATATTGCTTTATTGTTCTAGTGACTATCTTTAATCAAATATTCATGTTAGTCATATCATGTCTGCTGAGGGGTTAGACACTTCCTTTCTCTTAAAAAATCCATTGTCCACAAATTTGCAAGTGAATTTTTTGTTGTTTATTATAGGTTTGATTACTGAGAAAATAAACTGTTAGAAAAGGTAATGCAAACTTAATGAAACAACTTTGGCTGACAAACAAACGGAAGGCAATGTCTAAAGAAGACCATGTACTCCCAGCAAGCCACACCCAGGCCTTTAAGGTCTATTGTACTTCTACTTCTGTCCTGCAGAGGGTGCCATCTCAAGAAAACAAAGAATAACAAAAATTATCCTTCAAATAAGGCAAATATATGGCTCCTACAGTTCTGTACAGCTGGTGCTGATATATGACACTAAGTTTCAAATTTCGTTTTACAGCTACCAGTTACCCCACATTTACAGGATGGTTCATTGGATCTCTTCCCATTATAATTTGAAGAAGTAACATAGCACTTTTGTATAAGTGGCCCAAGCTCGAACCTGACTTCTGTCAGCCTCCACTTTTCTCCCTAGCATTTTCTGTCATTTCTGTATACTATCCTGTGTTAGTGTGTTTCATCCCAGTTAAGATATATGCCAGTCCCACACTGAGTATCTCCCCTACAGACTATCACAGCCAATCACCCTTTTGGAAAGGTGGCAGCTGAGATTACTGAACATCCTGTGACACCATCAGGAAATAAATATGTCCTCATTCTCCAAAACTATTTCACTAAGTATGTAAAATTGTACCCTATGAAAGATTAGAGAGCTGTAACGGAACAGTATGTCACAGAGCATGGTGTTCCTGAACGTCATCATACACATCAAGGCTGCCAGTTTTAGGCAGATCTAATCAAGGATCTTGTGTTCCAAGTTGGGTGCCACCAGAATTAGGACTCCTTATCATCCTGAGGGAAATGGTTTAATCGAAAGATTCAATCGCAAAATTTACTTTTACATTGTGTTTGAAACTGTGTGAAAATTGTGATGTGTTGTGGGGGGTGTACACAACAACCCTATAATGGTAAAAATCCACCCCCTCCTTTTTTTATTTTCCCAATGACTCATAAACTGTCTCAAAACGAGTAATTTGCAATTTATATACACTGTGACGTAACAATGTAACACTCCTGTTAGCTTAGATCAGCAAAAAGACCAAATAGCACCTCATACAATGTGGGAGACTTGGTTTGGTTGAATGATCCTGCTCATTCCCGATGTAAACTGGCCCCACGCTGGAAATAACCCTACATTGTAACACAAACTGTTCAGCCTACTGATGGTCCAAAAAGGGCAGAGTCTAACTAAAAATGTACTGTATGTCATGAAGTCAATATCTTAATACCAATATCTTATGTTTTGTTTTGCGTAATCTCATTAATCCTGCTGAGCAAATTAAAAGTCACCATATAATGGAAGTTATGGCCTACTTGACTTCTGTATTGTGACATATTTCCGAGTGAAACCACTTTTCTAATGTGAAAAACAATCAAGCGGGACTTGACTCGGGAGGATTTCGCTGCGTTTGCGGAGTGGGTGCTGGTGAACTGCAGATCTTTGTTTGAGGAGCTGTACAGTATACTGTCCATCTGTTTCCATTGATTAGTCTGCTATTTAGTCTCCTCTGTTTCGTTGATTATTTTCTCATGTCTACTCATGTTAGCAAGTCACTCTAGTCCAGTGGTTTTCAATCCTGTTGGTTCCCTTTGGACCCACTTGGTGACCTGAGCCAGGAGATGAGTGGTGAGTAAGAAGATCAGTGCAGCATGATTAATGCCAGTTTCTCATTCCAGTAATTGGCATGGAGCGACAGGATAAAAGCCACTGAGTAACTGGGGAAGGTGAGAGAGAACTTGGTGAACTCGTGTCTGTGTGCATCTCTGTGGAGAACAAAGCCAAAGGAACTGTTAAATTGAAGGGTCAGTGTTTTTTTTTGTTGAGAGAACTGTTGGAAAAAAGTACACCTCTGTCTTCTCCTTGCCCTGAAGAACTAGCACAACAATTATGAGGAGTTTTACTGCAGCATTTTTTAATTCTAAACTTCTGTATATGGCACGTGTGACAGCATTGAAAGAAATAAACTGTGTGAGCAACCTGATATCCTTAAGGTAAGTCATTTGATTTGTATAAATTCACTGTTGAACACATTTCATCTTAGAGTCAAACCCACTAAATACTATCATACAACTTTAACTCATAGAATTTTTTTAAGGGTTTTTACCTACGGTAAAGGCCATGGCTACCATTTAACATCTAATTTTTGCACATATAATTGTATATGCCAGTTTCTAAATGGACACTAACACAATGATCAGATTCAGAGTCTGATATCTAAAACACCTATGATCAGAGTATATGGCACCATTTACATTCACAATTGATCCGAATGGCATCCACATTGTTTTGTGATTACTCCCAAAACACATTTGGAGGTGGCATGTGACCAAATTGCCGTTAATAGATTGAACCATAATCTTGCAGAAGATAAATTACATAAAGTAGAGATGTGGGAAGCATGTTCTCATCATTTTTCATATTTTTGCATAATTATCTCTTGATCTTCAGCAAACAAGTAATACTGCTTAACCCAGTTGGAAACTAAATAAGGTTGAATTTTTTAGATATTGTAAGCCTGACACATAAACCTGAGATAAAGAATTCAAATTCGTTTGGAATGGTATTCTCCGGCTATCATCCATATTCCTTATAAACACAAGCAAAATTAAGTTAAACCAGAAGTAACTTTCAGATTGGTGGTATTTTCAGATGTTTCTTTGGTGGAAGTGAAAAAAGGTAAGTTTAACCATGACTGTTTCAATCTCTCCTGTAATCTCTGTATAGGACTGTGAGCACTCAGAAGAGGACATGTCCACTATTCTCTGTCCATCCCAGTCGAGGGCTGGTGGATGAGAAGTTTCGGATTGTTGTAACAAATTTACCGCCAAGTCAAAAGGTGACACTACACTCTCTACATCAAACAGAGGATAAGGACTTCTGGGAGGCGTTTGGACACTACATCAGTGATGAACACGGAACAGTTACAGGTGCGTGGTAGTCTAAATGCACGACTTACAAAAGTTACAATGGTACCCACAGTTTCACTGAAATACTATGGTTACAACAGTTGTTACTGTTAGAATGAAAAGGTGCAGATGACACACAGCTCAAATCTCCATTACTTTGAGTTACTGAAACCTCTCATGAGACATGTACAGAGCAGAGCATCTCTCACACTGGCTGTTTCTCAATTCCAAGAACGCAAATAACAAACTTGCGATCTCGTGGAGACCAGTCCTGCCAGGCGACCTTGAAATAACAAACTCGGAAGGATGCTGGGACACAAAATGCATCCTTGTGAGAATTGAGATGTGATGCTATCTTGTTGCTCAACTGAGCTTCCCAGCATATTGTCACGATCCACACTCAGCAAGTTTTTAATAGGGAAATCCGTTACTCACAAAACAGTCCAGGCAGGGGTCAACATCCTCATAAGTAATCCAAAACACAAAGACCAATGAGCAGACAGAAACAGACCTCAGACATAGTTTGATAATTGATAAGGACTCCATAACAAACACTAAACAAGCAGGGTACTTATACACACAGACTAACAATCATAATTGGTGACAGGCTGGGTGCAATGAACAATGATGAGAACAGACAAGGATTGTGGGAAATGCAGTTTCTAATGTGACTGACACCGTGGGGGAAGAGGACCTCTAGTGGTGAACCAGGGAAACACAAACCCATACTGTGACAATTATAAGTAACGACTAATGCACAATTGATACAACATAACACAAACAAATGTCACAACCTAATAAAACTTCTTTCATATTATTATAGACATTATTTTAATATAATTTTATATCTTTTTATTTTACCGCCTGTGTTACCTATGCTTTGTATTTCAAGATTCTTTTTAAAATGCCAATAAAAATACTGCAGGCTTTCTTCAGGTAACCACTTTAAGCTAAACAAATGGACAAATGTTTACTTTCATAAACTATCATGTATTTGCAAGCTCGCAACGGGAATCTCTTAAGTGAGAATAAGAAGTTTAAAGCTTCTGTTCGACGATTGCCTGCAGCGTCCTCTGGGTTCTCTTTCATCATCTCGTGTTCGAGATCCAACTATGGGAAGGGCATCTGTACCTGACCTCTGCAGAAGCATCCAATTGCACTAAGTCTGGCTATACAGACAAAAGCATGCAGCCAATGCCAGGTAAGGCCCCACCCCCTTACCTGAGGGTATAACGCCTGCAAGCGCTGCTGTTCTCCAGTTGACATTCGCTGCTCGCGATCTCTGCACATACACAGTTCAGTTGGATTTACACTGCTCACTTGTCTTCATGAGGGCATATCGCCAGATCAGCCTCTGCCAGATGTGACAGTCTTTTTATTCAGCCAGATTAGCTGTGTTTGCATCCTGAGCCGCCCACGTTCTTCTTATTTTTTCACCTGCTCCCCTTTTCCACGGCGGCCCACAACGGATTTCTCTCAGTTTTTTCGAGGTATGGCGCTTTCCAAATCTGCCGCTTCTCCTGGAGACAGCCTATCACGGGCCTGCCCAGATCGTGTGTGGTGCGCTGATCGCGGCGAAATACCTTCACCAATTCTGCGTGGTCTGCTTGGGCCTCAAGCATGCAGAAGATGCTTTGGAGAACCCGGAGAACTGCAGCCATTGCCTTATGCTGCAGAAGAAACTCCTGCGGCACCGTCTGAAAGTTGCCACGTTTCTGCCTCAGTGCACTAGGCCGCTAAAAAGTCCTCGGCCTTGGCTGTCAGGGCCCTTAATGTCTCTTCCCTCCTCTCCACTTCCCAGGCAGAGATTCTGGAGGATTTAGGGCAACAGTTGGACAAAGGAACCCCCTCACCAACCCTGTCGAAGGAGGTTCTAACTGTTAGTGACCTCATCCTCCGTAATGCCCATCAGGCCGTAAAAGCCTGCGGGTGCTCCATGGCGTTTTCTGTTGTGGGAGAGCGTGCGCTCTGGCTTAACCTGTCGGGTTTCCCTGAAAGTGAGGGCTCTCTTTGGCCCCACCGTCGCATTGATTCAGCAACGATGCGACGACAAGGAGGAGGATGAGGCCTTCAAGTTATGCCTACCCAGGAAGGCGGCCCCACGCCAGATGCCCCCCTACGTGTTTGCCTAGCCCTCCTGCTGCCCCAGAGCCCCTGTCCAAAAGACGGAGGGTTTCTCATTGATGGGTTGGCCACCCTCCTCTAAAGGATGCCCAGCCCATGTGTTCAGTGGACGTTGTGTGTTCTCCCCCCACGTTCAGGGGGTCCGTTGTGAGAAACCACACGCTCACATTTTGTCCCCCCCCCTCCCACTAAAAAAAGGCTTCTGCCCCGGTGTTCCCCAACACAAAACACATACGTAACCCAACAAACACATCAAAACAAACGAATCAAATGAATTTGTCTCTAAGAGAGAACCTTTCTGCAGAGAGAGATTTTTTCTCAAGAGAGCATCTCTATAAACCCCTGCATGCCATCCCTAGTTTGTCCACTAGAGAGTGCCATTTGGGAGGCGTTTATACTCGACGCGCTCGCCATTGTACTATTCTGTGAAACGACAGGGTGACTCAAGTAATTGCCATCAGGAATCAACTGTGAGAAGAAGAAAGGTCCACACGTGACAATGTTTATTTTAGTACATCACCACCAATAACACTACAAAAAGAATTGTGTAAAATCCAGTAAACCCTGAGATTATTACTTTTGACATTAGAACAAAATATGTGGATATAAAAACTTGCATGGCTATATAACTAAATTAACGATCTCTTAAAAATGTTCTAATTTCACTAAACCCTAAAAGCCCCAGGCCTTAACTCACAACCAGCCATGTGCTCATTCAGGAGAGAGATGACTCTCTCAACCACAACAGAATCAAGGACAACATCAGGAGTTTGGCACAACGTCTTCATTCAATGCAGAAGAAGTACATTGGAACTCCCACCATCAACTCTTCTGACTGCCTCCCTTCTCCTGTTTGCTCTGCGTGTCCTCTCCGGCCCAGGGCCGGCAGGCCACAATCTGCACTCCAGGCATGGGAACACAGTCAAACCAACCAACAAGTTCATCACCATTTCTTCAGTCAATGCCGAAGAAATCGATTGAGACTCAATTTCCAATTTGGACAATCAAAAATCCTTCTTCAGGAACTTTACGCGAAATGTTTCACTGCAAAGTATGCAAGTATACATTTAATGAGGTCCTCTGAAAATGATAAGCTGATGGTTGTTTTCATAGTTAAATGGATCTTTTCCATTTTTTTTTTTTTTTTGTGTATACTTTTATTGTCCCCTTAGGGAAATTTGTCTTGGGCATAGTGTATGCTGAATTTCCAGGATAAAAATGAGACATTAAAAATAAAAAATAAATACAATTAAAATAAATTCTAAATCAATCACAGAATAGATCAATCTAAATAAAAATTATAATATAGAGCAATAGATAATGTTAAGTAATCAGTCCAAACCAGAGACAATCATAGAATGACAAAGAATGACTAAACTGAAGGAACTAAATACAAGTACAAATCAACACTAACGAGGTGAAGACAGGTGACACAGATGATGATGAGGGACAGGTGGATAATGAGGGAGTGAGTACAGGTGTGGAGACAAGAAGGATTCTGGGAAGTGTAGTGAAGATGACTAAGACAGACAGGTGCAGACGAAGACTGTGACAGAACGCCCCCCTTCAACAAGGCGCGACCTCGCGCCGTAGAACATCAATGGGGTGGGGGGGTGGGCGCCCTGAAGGCTGGCCAGGGCGGAGCAGGACGTGCAGGCGGCCAGGGCGGAGCAGGACGTGCAGGCGGCCAGGGCGGAGCAGGACGTGCAGGCGGCCAGGGCGGAGAGACCCCTTCGGGTGGCCAGGGCGGAGAGACCCCTTCGGGTGGCCAGGGCGGAGAGACCCCTTCGGGTGGCCAGGGCGGGGCGGACCCTTCAGGCGGCCACGGCGGTGAAGACCCTTCAGGCGGCCACGGCGGTGAAGACCCTTCAGGCGGCCACGGCGGTGAAGACCCTTCAGGCGGCCACGGCGGTGAAGACCCTTCAGGCGGCCACGGCGGTGAAGACCCTTCGGACGGCCACGGCGAAACCGAGTGTCCGAAGAACCATGGTGCCATCGCAGGCTTGGAGAACAGAAGCTGCGCCGCTGATCTGCGGGACTGAAGAGGCGACGTAGGGATGGATGACCGGGGTGACGAAGTGGCGAGGGAGGCCGACGGGGAGAACTGAGGAAGGGAGCAGTCCATGGATGCTGAAGGGGTGCAGGGTGAGGGCGCAGCCCGAATCCCGGAAGTCCGTGGCAGGAACTGGACTTTGACCACCAAAGGCCGACCTGGAGTGGCGATCGAGCCCAGCGGAGCTTCCGGGCAGACAGACCGCGGAGCCGATGAAGGAGTCGTGGATCTAGGTGCAGGCGAAGGAGTGACAGGCCGAGATGAAGGTGTGGGCTCTGAGGACTGAGGTGTAGGCGGGGACTCGGCCACTAGCCACGCTGGAGCTGCAGGCTGGCAGGCCCACAGCGACTCCACCTCGTCAGAGGTGATTAGGTGAGCTGAGGGGATGACAGGCGGTGGCGGAAGAGTGGAATGGTGGCAGATGAGAGGAGGTGGGAGAGGGAGGCTGGGTGGGAACACAGTCTCTGGCTGGGTAGACGGGACGTTGACGGTCTCTGGCTGGACGGTCTCTGGCTGGACGGTCTCTGGCTGGACGGTCTCTGGCTGGACGGTCTCTGGCTGGACGGTCTCTGGCTGGACGGTCTCTGGCTGGACGGTCTCTGGCGGGACGGTCTCTGGCGGGACGGTCTCTGGCGGGACGGTCTCTGGCGGGACGGTCTCTGGCGGGACGGTCTCTGGCGGGACGGTCTCTGGCGGGACGGTCTCTGTGCTGGACGGGACCAGCGGTACAGGAAGCTCTGGACTGGACGGGATCAGTGGTGGAAGCTCTGGATCTATGCTGGACGGGACCAGTGGTGAAGAAGTCTCAGCAGGATGAGACTCACGATTATGCTTCAACACCCACTGCACATACTTCACAAAGTTCCCCCGAGGCCCATCTCCGGGCAGCCGTGCCTTGGTCTCAGCATTGAGACCTGCCCGGAAGAACACACTGAGGCTGGTGTCATCATAATGAACATATGGTACTAAGTTCAAATACCTCAGTGTGTGGGCCTCGAGGGACAGATCCTCCTGGGAGAGAAGCAGAATCTCTACTGCTGCAAAATCCATTCTCTTTTCTTTTTCTTGGTCAGTAGTTCTGTCACGGTTGTGGTGCGGGTTGAAGAAGGAGGCTGAGGCAAAAGCTCCAATGCAAACATTTACTAAGTGTAAACTCAAAAACAGGTACAAGAAGGCAAACAGGCAGAACAACTCACAACATAATAAGTAAGACTAACTACTGACAAAGAATGACTAAACTGAAGGAACTAAATACAAGTACAAATCAACACTAACGAGGTGAAGACAGGTGACACAGATGATGATGAGGGACAGGTGGATAATGAGGGAGTGAGTACAGGTGTGGAGACAAGAAGGATTCTGGGAAGTGTAGTGAAGATGAATAAGACAGACAGGTGCAGACGAAGACTGTGACAGGGACAGGTATGATAAAAGATTTTTTCCACAGGCTGGAAACAGTGTGAGTCCCTACTGATTGTTGACGTTGTGCTGGGGTCAATTCCTCTGCAAAAGTCTTTAACAAAAAAGCTGAGATGCCACCTGGGCCAGTAGACTTTTTGGCACACACCTGTTTAAAGACAGACTGTACCACATGTTTTTCTACATTAGGTTTATTCTCCGGATTGCATGGGATGGACCCCAGCAGAATGTTACATTCCTGAGAATAGTCCTCCGTTTCAAACCTGCAATATTCAGGTTTGAAACGGAGGACTATTCTAATGTAACATTCTGCTGGGGTCCATCCCATGCAATCCGGAGAATAAACCTAATGTAGAAAAAAAAAAAAACATGTGGTACAGTCTGTCTTTAAACAGGTTTTTCCTGCTTCCGGTTTCATTATGTCACTCACCATTTTACCTATGCATGTATGTATGTGTGTTTAGTTTAGTTATGTTTGTGATTTAGTAAATAAAACTTGTGCACAATACTTATTTGGTTCTGATTCACTGCTTGCAGACAAAGTCTCTTTTACGATCTTGATCTTGTTACATGCTCTAAAAGCTGTAAATGCTAAGAAATAAATAATTAATGAATAATCAAAAGAGTTTGTTGGATGAACTGATTAATTGATTGTAATATTAATTTAGCTACACCAAGTTAATCCAATTAACTGACCCAAATATTCATAATTAATCATAACAAGTTATGATCGATTAATAATATTTCTCCTTTGAGCTAACTCGTTACACACATTTCTACAGATTTAGAATTCACAGTATATTTCTTGAGCGAACAATGATCAAGAGATTAAGTACATGATGTGGATATGCCCTATTATATATACCTTAGGGACCAAAGATGAAAGTTTGGGAGGCACTTATGAAGGAGCAGAGCCAATGGGGTTGCTGTGGAGCATGAGACCCGTACCAGGAAATCAACCAGGACTCAGGTAGATTAGACTGGAACAATATGATTGTGTGTGCTTTTTATTACCAAGTTTAAATGCAGGTTTCTTTTTTATTTGAGGGGTTTGACACTCTCTTTTGTTACCTACATACTCTTTACTCCAGAATACGCAAGAGGGATGTTCTTACACCGATGGTAGTTCACATTTCAGTATACAGTGGGCATCTATCTCAAGGCTTCAGCCAGAAACCACCCCTGGCAACGAGTGTCATAGAGCGCTGGCATATAGCACCAGGTGTGAAAAGGATAAACATCAGTGAGGAAGAAGTACAAGGAACACTATTCCTACCTCCAGGTACACACACACACACACACACACACATTAAATAACAGATTTCTAATCAGGGGTCAAATCTATTAGATCTTTCATGATCATTGCTTGTGTGTAAAAATTACTTGCTGTGTGTTTTTTAGGCCCTGGGCCGTACCCAGGAGTGCTGGACCTGTGGGGAGCAGGTGGTGGTTTGGTCGAATACCGCTCTGCCCTGCTTGCATCTCATGGCTTTGCATCCATGGCACTTGATTACTTCGCTCCAAAAGAGATGAGATTGCAAGATGTTGATATTTCTTACTTTGAGGTAATTTAGAACTTATGACAGTCTCCTAATGAGGATCAACCTTGGCATTACATTGATGTGATCTGGCATTATTAGTTGCCTGTGTTTCCAGAGGAGACGCTCAAAAATAAATTATTGGCCATCAAAGCAAATGTGATAATATTAGGTACTCACTGATTTGCCACAACATTGTACACAAAATGTTAAGTCAATAACATTGATTATGTAATTATAATGGCAACTGTCAAGGGGTTGTATTTATTAGGCAGCAAGTGAAAGGTCAGCCCTGCTGAAGAAAGGTTTTTTTTGGACACTTCTTTAGATGGTCAGGCTGGGAGACCAGCTTAAACCAGCTGAGAGCAGCCAACCAGCTTTATTCAACAGGGAGTTCTTGAATTTCATGTTTTGGAAGCATGAAAAATGGGCAAGTGAGAAGATCTGAGTGATTTTTACAAGGGGCGTGGGAACCAAGGGCCAAATAGTGATGACTAGACAAATAGTGACTTTGTTTGTCAAGAAGATGGCTGTTGCTAATATGGCTTTCCAAAGTCCAAAGTTTTTTCTTGCCTTGCCCCGGTGACGCTGCTATGCCCTTCAGCACATGGCTGTGGATCTTTGACAATTACAAATTATTGAAGCTACAGGGTATGCCTGGCCAGACAAAATACAGAGAGCTGTACTGCTTCACTGCCTTAGCACAAAGGGGCAATGGGTTTTTAACACATTACCTATAACAGGTACAACATATAAGGATGCAGAGGAAGCATTGAAAGCCTACTTTGTGCCAAAAGCTAACATATTAGCTGGTAATCGCTGTCAGGCGCCTCATGAGACAAGAAATCTCATAAATACAGTACGTAAGAGGCTTTTAGTAGAAACTGATCTTACACGGGGCAGAGCTGTTACGATAGCAAGCCAGATTGATCCTGCAGCCAATCAGGCTAAATCTATTTAAAATTCCCTCCAGGTTACGGCCCCCATACAAGCGGTGCAGCACACAGTAAAACACAGAGCAAGGGGAAAACCGCCACATCCACCTCGTCTTTCTGCTCAGGTGGGGAAGAGGACGTCATGCTTTCGCTGTGTATAAAGTGTAAAAAGATTGGACATTAGACTAAACTGTGCCAATCAGCATAATCAAACATGCGCAAGGTACTGTACACAGAATATTCAGCTCGTCAATATTCTGGCTCACAGACTGGTGTGCTGGATTTAGTGGTTGACACTGGGTCTTTCGTATCTATTCTGCCCTACAGCACTTATCCATGCCATTTCAGAAACGTTGTGCTGTCGTGACCCACAGCCAGACATGTGACGTATTCTAAACCCCAAATCCGGTGGTTGGGTGTTTGTCAGCGAGCACTTTCCTTACATGACCGCTCAGATTCTGCTATGTTCTACATTGTGGACAAAGGGACACCACTCATGACGATTGAAAACAATCAAGTCCTGCCTCCTAAGGCTTTATCTGTGCGTGGACCATGGTTGACCTTCTTCACCCAAGGAACTGGAAGTTGAGTTCCTGCCATATACTATAAACAACGTCTGGAACTGTCTGTTAAGTACATTTTTGTCTTCCGAGGCTCACGGCCGATTGCACCTGCTGCTCTTTGTTCTGTGCTGTTCTCCATAGCGCATAAAGGACATCAGGCGAGGTGAGGACCAAACAATGCCTTCGTGATCTCTACTGGTGGCCAGAGATGGATGCTCAGGTTAATGTTGCAGTTCGTTCCTGCCACATGTGTCAGCTCAATGACAAAACTGTCAAGTCACACCCTGCTCTTCTCCAGCCAGTGCTGCTAGCTGTAGATATATTTGGGCCATTTGACAGTGCTGCATCCAACTGCAGGTTTGCAATAACTTTAACTGATTATTACATCAAATGGCTTGAGATCTCTTTTACTCACACTGTCATAATGGATTCTGTGGTTTCATTTCTGTCATCAGTCTTTAGTCGCCATAGAAAACCATTGAGCATTTTTACTGATAACGGTGTTCAGTTTATATCTGCTGCTTTTGTTGCTTTTCTGGAAGGAAGGAATATTCGTCATCATCATTCCTCTCTTTACTTCCCGGCAGCTAATGGTGCTGTAGAGACATTCAATCGTGTGCTCAAACACAAATAGCCATCCAGCTACATGGAAACCTGCGGTAACTGACTTCTTGTAGGTGTCACACATGCTGCACCCTTTCAGCTCCTCTATGGCAGGCAAATGTGCACAAATCTGTCTATTTTGCCATCTGCTCCTGTGCACACACCAACTGACATGACTGTTCGCCAAAGGGTTACACGGCTGCAACACAAAATGAAAAAGTACATTGATACTAAGCAGAGTGCTTACACTCCTTGTTTCCAGGAGGGGGATAAAGTGAGGGTACGGAACCCCTTGCATGTTCCTTAGGGACACAAAGTTTACTGATCCTCTCAGTCTCACGGTTGCCAAAAAATGCGTGTGGGGACATATGTTCTTAGTGATGGAAAGACACAGAATGCTTCCTATCTCACTGCATTTCCAGGCACACCAATAACTCTGGCTGAGAAAACTGCTCACTAGTCACTACACACACACTAATACCACTAGACCCAAATGTTATGTTCAGAAGACTAGGTGGTTAAATTACTATTTTACTAAAATCTGATGTTCTTAAAAAAGGGTGAACTATATTATGGTCCCAATCCCTTCTCTCCTATTCAATTGTTTCCTGTCTCTCACTGAACTATCCTATCAAAGGCAGAAAGTTAAAATATATTCTTATATAAACATTTTCTCTAAGTGGTGGAACAAACCTCCAACCTTCACCCAAAAAGCAGAATCCATTGGGTTTGAGTATATGCAAACCTAAATTGGGTTGTGTGGTGAACAGTTGATTAATCTTTACAGATGTGTGCGTTTAAATTTGTGTTTACATGTTTCCTGTAGAAAGCATACCAGATCCTGAAGAATCATCCATTGGTACAGCCGGATCAACTGGCTGTGCTTGGGCTGTCTTTTGGAAGTATAATCACACTCAGTATTGTGGCCTACTCCAATGTCATCAAGGTTTGCTTGGCCTACACCAGTGGTCTCCAACCTTGTTCCTGGAGAACAACTGTCCTGCAGACATCAGTTCCAACCCTGCTTCGACACATCTGTCTGTGATTTTCAAGTAACCCTGAACACCTTGATTGGCTGGTTTAGGTGTGTTTCATTGGAGATAAATCTGAACACTGTAGGACAGTAGCTCTGCAGGAGAATGGTTGGAGACCCACACACATGAATCTACATTTTGAATGCAGATATATTTTTCTTGTATTACATTGGTATGTTGATCAGTCTCTATTTATTGTCTTCTAGCCCCAGTGCTGTGTGTCTATTAACGGAAGTCACCTGATTCCTTTTGACAAAAACCTCTTTGAACTCATTGACGAGATGAATAAGTGAGACACAGAAAACAGAAAATATGTTATGGTGTTATAAAGTGTTTTGCAATTTTGTTATTCAGTGTGGTCCCAAAATTTGAGCACTTAATTCACACTTAAAAGTTTAAGAACTTGACAAGTACTGCATCTCTGTCATTGGCTTTCATAGAACTACAGTTACATTCATAACTGCCATTTTATTTTATGCCTCCTGACTGTCAGTGAGGCTTTTGGATGACCACATACCAGCATAGGAAAGAGTTAAAGATACACGTCCATCAGGAAAGAAAACTATACTTGGGAGAACTGCAGGAACAAAAACTGTATATGACGCATAAGAAATTCTGTAGAAACTAGTTAAAGTGGATGGGGATGACCAGGTAGCCTCTGCACATATATCATTAAGTGGGACCCACACTTAATGATATATTTAACTATCCACTGCCTTATAGGGATGTACATTTACTTTATTTCCCAAATGAGAGACTTGCCACTGTGAATGTGGTACACCAACCGTGTGACATAGTTGATCTGTAGAGTTTCTGTATATTTATAAACAAATATACATCATATTTTATATCCACCGTATGTGCCTTCCAAGCTCTCAACCCTATATAAATATTTGTATTTGTCAGTAGTACCCACAAGCTAGACCAAGTAAATTGAAGAAAGAGTTTTAGATGACCAGTTTTATTGGGCTACAAGTGATGCCAGAAAAGTCTAGCTTACACCTGAGACAGCACAGACAGAGATGCATTTCTGTGTGAAGGTGCCACACTTTTCAACCCAACTGATAAAAAGAAAATATGTTCCGTCAGAAAGAGGACAAGGGGTTCCCCTCACGAATGAATGGAGTAAGACAAACCAAGGCCTGGCTGGCAACCGTGGGGCCACTCGAACACCGGTGTAAAACTCATGCAGAGTTTAGCTTCAACCCTAATTAAACGCATCTGATAAAGCTAATCAAGTCATTTAGGATTATTTGAAAGCTACGGTATGTGTATTGGAGCAGGGTTGGAACTAAACTTTGCAGGACTGTTTGTGCTATGTACATTTAGAGCATAGTACCGATGTCTATTTATAAAACGTATTTTTGTAAAACACTTTTTCTTTCAAATAAATGCCAATTTGGCCAATTTCATTTTTTTTAGGTTTGACTTAAGTGTTCAGATTTATTATGGGGCCACGGTATGACAATACAATGTGAACGGAAATAATTGTAATCATTTGCTCGATTTTTAAACAACAGTTATATCAAGTAAATTTGTTTAATGTAAATATTTTAATAATGATAAGCACTAAAAATTTTATTCCAGGAATATAGGTAAACGACGTGTGAATGAGGAAAACCAGGTCATTTACAGAGATGTTCTCTTACCCACTCAGTTTGACCCACCAGTCAAAGTAGATGTGAGTATATGTTGATATTATGGATACGTTGATATATAGTCTGTTTTACTTATTTTTATTTTCTTGTGATGTTAATTGTCTGTTTTTATTTAAATGCACACAGGTTGGGAGAATAAAGTGTCCACTTCTGTTGGTGACTGCTGGCGATGATCAGGCTTTTCCTGCAGTTGAATCTGCTGAAGATGTGAGTTACATTTCTTATGTATTATATTGTCTGCTGTTAATATAATAACTGTCTGAAACTGTTGTATTAACTTTTTGAAACTGTTTTCAAATGGCCTAAATTTGGATAACATGCAAAAAAGTTTTTTGAAGGTTAAACAACGTAAATGTTGTTAACTCTTTCCCCACCATTGGCGGAATTTTCCACCATTTATGACACGACGCGTCCCCGCCATTTACAGTCTATGGTCCCCGCCATTTACAGAACTTTCCTGCAAACCAATGTTTCCACTGTTATATTTCCACTGTAGGGCTTGCTGTTATTTATCTTCTGAAAGAGAACAGAATCTCTGGATCAAAACACAGAAGCATAAAGAAGCAGAAGCAAGCGATAAAAGCATTGCTTATGCACAAGTAAAATAAAGCGATCATCAAACATTAAAAATGTTTGGCCATGAAAAATTTGTGAAAGTGATCAAAAATGCTGGCGCTGGCTGGCAACTTAAAAAAAAACGATGGCAGGGAAAGAGTAAAAAATAAAAGGCATTTCAAACCCCTTTTGTACCCTTTATGAAATGGAAAATGAAAATTTTACTAACTATTAATTTATTAAAAAGCTTTCATTCAAAATGTCTGACATGATTTGGATCTCTGATATTTTACCTTTTAAACCCAGATTGAGAGGATGATGGAGAAAGCAGGAAGTCGGCACTTGTTGGAAGTCCTGGCATATCCCGGGGCTGGTCATCTTATTGAACCGCCATACTCACCTCACTTTCGTGCAACTAACTTCAACCTATACTCGACAAAACACAAAGGTATACCGTATGCATGCATAAGTAATTGTCTAATTTCATTTTTTATTCTTTTTTATTGGCTTAATGCCAGTTCTGGATTTTATTTGTGATTGTGTGTGTGTGTTTTACATCTGTTTTACATGGTGTTGTTGTTGCAGGTTTCACTCTATGGGGTGGACAAACCCAATCACATGCGTACGCACAAGAGGACGCATGGAATAAGATATTAGCCTTTCTGCGGGAGCATCTCTGCTTTAATGAAACACTGCATTATAGAAAAACATCTAGCTGTGCCATTTCAGCTGAGTAACTTTTAAGTTTTAACATTTTAAGTTAACCCCTTTACATCTAACAGTTTTAAAATCTCTAGGTTTTTTTTAATTGATGACATGATGATAGATTTTCTATTGGTGGCCAGGCCAGCTTAAGAAGAAATGGTTTTGCTTTTTAGTTCATTTTCAAATGAGTTTGTGGAGAGATGCTTTTAAATAAAGATTGTATGGTTTTGTTTGTGTGCACTTTCTTCCATGTGGACTGACCTAGATGAACAATCAGCAGAAAGCAGATAAGCACAATGCATCACCCAGTGTTTATGTTACTGTGACCATTTAGCCAAATATTTAATGTATTTAGGGCTTCAATATTAATAAGAATAACATTTATTAATTGTTTAATAATAAAAAATAATAAATGCAATAGATTATTAAAATAATCAACAACATTTAGCGTTTAATCGTTTAGCAAATAATCACGTTTGCATGCTGTGAGTGTGCACAAAAAACATTTGCCAGCCACATTACTTTACAGTCGTGTAGCGAGTTTAGGACTGTCGCTAGCGGAGCGAAGATTCTAGGGGCCCTCTGCGATTTTAATACATTATCATATAGACTACACACGATTACAGTTGGATTTTCGAATGCCCAAACACACGTCATATCTGTAATTAAAGGAAAGAAAGTCAGGCTACTAAATGGAAGGTGTCAGAGTAGCTCAAAGACAATCAAAACAATAGTGACTGTAATAAAACTGCTTGGCTTTTCAAAAATACATTTAGTTTGCATAGCATCGCATTTGCTGTGTATTGACCAAGTTCACAAAACAATGTTTATGTAGGTAACAACATAGATATACGTAGATGCCACATTCGACTGCTCCAGACACGTCAATGTGTCTGCCATCTTGGAACAGTCTCCACATCTTCAGGGGCGTGGTCTCCACATCGGTAAGGAGCAATGTGTCTCACTTCCTCCGCACCAAAGTGATGAATTTACTGGCGAAAGGGGCTGTAGAAGCTGTTCTTCCAACCCACAGCGAATCAGGCTTTTACAGCCGCTACTTTCTCGTGCCAAAGAAGTCTGGTGGCCTCAGGCCCATCCTCGATCTCAAGCATCTCAACCAAGGCCTTATGAAGCGGCCTTTCAAGATGTTAACATTAAAACAAATCTTCTCACAAGTGTGCCCGGGGGATTGGTTTTTCTCAGTGGATCTGCCTACTTTCATATCCAGATAGCCTCCCACCACAGACTGTTTTTCAGACTGATTCACGTTCGAAGTGGTGGCTTTCCAGTATACAGTCCTTCCAGTCGGACTGGTTCCACGCATTTTTATGAATGTCCTGTGACAGTTCACTGGTACTGTCTTTCCTTCAAGAGCTGCTGTACAAGTGTCGCACCCCTTCCACGGTCAAGGTCTATGTGGCGGCCATAGCAGCACGCTTCAGTCCGTAGCCTGGAACAACCTGGTTTTTCACTTTCTGAAGGGGTCCAGAAGGCTAAACCCGCCTCGCCCCCTCACAGTTCCTACATGGGACCTGTCTGCGCTCCTTTTCGAACTGCAGCCCCTTTCGCTAAAGACCGCCCTCCTGCTAGCCCTAGCATCAGTCAAGCAAGTGGACGACTTGCAAACGCTATCTGTGAGTGCTTCTTGACTTGAGTTTGGGCCTTACAACTGCAAAGTTGTCCTCATACCAAGACATGGCTACATACCTAAGGTGCTCTCTACTCCTTTCAGAGCACAGTTCATTACTCTCTCTGCTCTTTCCCCCTCTGAGGGCGAGCAGGAGTTGCAATTACTCTGCCCTGTTCGGGCCTTAAGAGTATATATGAAGAGTTTGGTTCCAAAACGCGATAAAGCCATTTAAAAAAAAAAATTAGTTACTGCAAAAATCAGTATTGTATCTGGTTGGTATTGAAAAGTCAATGTTTAATTTTAAGTAAAATGCGATATCCGCCGTGTTATTCTGTCATGTTTTCTCCCTTTCTTTCCAAACCGCGACAAACGCCAGTCTCCCTTCTCTGCAGAATGCGATATATCCGCTCTCAACCAATCACAGCGCACCATTCCACGCAATGTAAACAGTAACGGCAGCGCCTTAAATACACCCGGCTTCCTAGTTTTTCTTATCTATTTTGTACTTCTTGATCAACAAACAAACAAAAAAATGAATAATTTTGAGGCATTGATGAACCTGTGGTTGTTTCTGCGGGGGGTAAGAAACGTAAGGCATCGAAATCGAATCATTTACGTGAGGAGATTAAGAAGATGAGGCACTCGGGAGGAGGAAAAATGTTTTCAATCTTCTTTACAGTTCTTAATAAAAATATTATACTAATAAACTTACGTTGTTGTGTATTTTCAACAGTTTCAATATGAAAAAAAAAACTTTTATATTGATTCAATGGATTAATAGCATTTTGAATTTTTTTTTAAATGGATTTATTGCATTTTGGGGGAAAAATTATCCGTTTTTATAATAAATATTTGAAAATCAAAACTATTTAATCAAAAAATCAAAAAAAAAAAATTTGTTATTATGACCTACAAATGCAATGTGAAAGTTTGAAACAGAAAATAGTGGTTTTCATCTTTCCACTTTCTTGGTAAAGAAAACACATTTTTACTCAAATTAATCTAAATGGATTTATTGCGTTTTGGAACCAAACTCTTCATATTGAGCATTCTGCCCTGTTAAGGCAGTCAGAGCAGCTCTTCGTGTACTTCAGAGGCCGCACCAAAGGGCATTTGGTCACGAAGCAAAGACTTTCCCACAGGATAGTGGATGCAATTGCACAAGCTCATGCTTCGATGGGCCTACAGTGCCCCATAAGGTAAAAGCACACTCCACCAGAGGCATGGCTTCATCTTGGGAATGGTCCAGCGGAGTGTCTATTGGCAACATCTGTGCAGCAGCCGGCTGGTCCTCG